AGGTCACAGCCAGGCAGCAGCCCCCACTGCCAGACTGCTGCAGTGAGTAGAGGGGGCAGGGAACTCTCAGGGCTGCTCCAGCAGTCCAGCTGGTACAAGGGATAGTGTCCACAGGTACCAATTGGCTGGGCCCCAGAAGCCCCTGAGAGGGAGGAGCCCTGAGCTACTTGTCAGGGCAGGTTTTTGTACTGATGGGAACAGCACAGGTGCTGGCCCTGGCTGCAAATCCAGGAGAAGCCAGGCAGGGTTATTTTGCCCCAAGTGGCACAACTTACCCCACACCAAAGTGCATGTCCGGGCATGTGCGCTGAGGCAAAAATCCCTGGCTCAAATTTGTACCGCTTCTATCTGAGCTGCTGCAAGCGCATGTGCTTGCATGTGTGAATGCGCCCTTAGATTGTTATCCCTGAGCCATCTTTCAAATGCATGAGTCATCTCACCCTCTTATTCAAGATTCATGTTAAAACAAGTATATCTCATAATGAAGTTTCCTACAGAGAGAGAATGCTTTTGTGGTGACGGCACTGTACTGGAACTCAGCATATTTTGGTTTCAGTTCCTGATTTGACCACAGCCTTTCTGTGTTGACCGTGGGCAAGCTTTTTTTTCATGAAATGAAATTTTCAGTTAAATATCCCAGAAAATTTTAGCTACTTATTAGTAATTTTGGATTACTCCTTACAACCCCCTCCCCCATCGCTTCGGGCCCAACCCCATTCCCCCCGGCGGTTCAGGTCCAGGCCCAGTCTCCCCCTTGCCACCATGGTCCCAACCCCATTTCCCACCCCACCTTGTGCCGCCTCCAAGGAGCCTCCATCCCCACTGTCATGGCAGTGTTCCACCACATGTGTCTCTGTGCAGAGCACTCTGATTGGTTGTTTCAGTAAGCATTGTGATTGGCTGCCAAGACAACCAATCAGAGTGCAAATAAAGTGTTAGAGACAGACAGACAAAGGTTTTTATATAGAATTTTATACAGTTTCTTGTAGCACCCACATCATAGCATCTGAGCACCTTGCACTAGTATATTAATATGCTTAACATCAGTTATGAATAGCTTGTTCTTTTTTTATCATGTACACTTAGAATGTTTTTATGCAGCAGTGTTGGAGAATGCAAAGTCAAGGTCAGAGGAGAAAAAAAGCACACTTCACATACCAGTGGAAGGTAGTGAGATTACTACCCACAGGTGTTCGTTATAGTCTTGGATCCACCCCAGAGAAAGCCTTGTGACAGAAAGTTCTACTAAACTGCTAACTGCAATCCTCATTCCTGAGTCTTACGCCTAGACCTTCAGCTAGATAATTGAGGACCTTGAAAATTGACTGATATAAAATTGTTATAAAATGAAGCAGGTAGATTTACATTTATTTCCTATGTTTGGAATTAGCTGCTCTATGTTCTTTTCTCAGTCATTGGTATAATCCCTTGTCCAAATGCTTGAACTCTTATCATAGAATAAAAAAATGAATTCAATAAATTGTACTAAGTTATTCTCTCTCAAGTTGTTAGAAATAAAGTTGTTAAAAATACCTGCAGCTTTCTACTATTGAACTTTTTACCTTCCTGTGAGCCTGCAACTTTCTATCATTGATGAGATGGCAACACTGCCATTTCACTTGGGAAACTTTTTGTCTTGTAGCCTTTCTTCCCTACCCTCCTGATGATAAGAATTATCTCATTTGCCTAGATGTATTTCCACTCTTAGAAAAATAACAGATTTCTTTGTTTAAAGATTATACTATATCAGTTAGTATCAGAAAGAATATGCCACCCTACCAGTAAGCCTTTCATTTCTTCTGCCCTGTTAGATAAGCTTCAGGATACAACTGGTATCAGTTGTGTCTGAATATAAAGGCAGTGGCAAGTTGCCATAAAAATTAATAGTTGAAAGAAAAATGAGGAAGGTAGATTAAGCAAGCAGTCTGATGGCAAATATGAATTGCCAAAATGCAGAGCAGAAAGGAGAAAACTAAGGGGAGACTGGATCTTAGACAGACACTCACCCTGTTCATTAAACTTTAATGTTTGTATCAACAGCTTCATATGACAGGAAATGATCTGGCCGTTTTGGTCACTTATTCTGGATGCCCTTAGTTTCACAGTGCAACTGACAAAATGGATTATACCTCTGAAGAAGCTGCAACTGAATATTCCCTCTGACTTTAGTAAGGAAAGTGCAAGGATGAAATCTGTGGACTATTTGCACACCGTCCAACAGAAGGATACCACCTCCTCTCCTCCTGCCCCCCATGCTGTTGGGTTGAGCAACAAGGGACTTTTCTCTGTCGTATTCCTGTGGCTTGCAATGCTCCTGTCCTCTTGTCTTGCAGCAGTGTCTCTTTACCATGTTATCACACTGAAAGCAGAATTAGCAACTCTCCGCAGCGAGCTGATCTACAAGGTTCAGTCTAGATCACCACTACCCCAGCCACTGGTATCTCTGGACAAGCATAAAGTGGATATCCCTACTTTCTCCTCCTTGCAGATAGCAGCAAGTACCAAGCAGGTGAGTTTCAGTGGCCTCTCAGACCTGTTATTGACTGCCAGGAAGAGGAGGGGGTAAGCATTCTGGACTGTTTCCATTGCTATAGTTTTGCTTGTCATCATCAGGAAAACAGGCTGCCTGCTTCTGAGGCAGGTGAAGGTGACCCAAAGAAAGGCTGGAATGAAGGTAGAAGCAGGGAGAGACGGTCACTTCAACCCACAGAAGAAACAGGTATGGAGCAAGGGGGGAGTGGTATTGCTGGAGAAAAGAGGTCTGGGTACTACAGAAATGTAGGGGATTTAGCATGGGATTCCAGGAAAGCCACACAGCTCAATTCTTACTCTTTGCTGCAAGCAGGCTTTTGCAGACACCTGAATCCCTTCTGTTTTATACCAGTATAGCAAAGAGTTTTAGCATTGGAGGTATTCCAGGAATGGAATACTGGTTTCTTTTCCCCTAATCCCACCCAGTGCATGGTATTTACCTATGCATGCTTTCTGAATGTTTGACTTGTTTGAATTTGCATCCCAACCTAGTTCTCATAAAAGAAGCAGTCTAGAATGAAATAAACTGGAGCAGTGAATTTCAACAACTCTGAACTGTTTTATAGCAGTCAAACTCCATGGTTCATAATTTAAGCTATCATCCTGATGCTGTCACTTTGGTCCAAAGTGGGGAAAAGGAATGTTTATTTCCAAAGAATATAAATGTCCTTTTTCTGGGAAAATCCCTTTCTTATGAAAACGAGAACTGCCAGGAGCTTCATAGCTTTGTTTCGGGAAATATGACATTTCAAAGAGAACATTAATTTGTATTCATCTACAGACGCAATAAAATGATTCCAGCAGATTAGTCATTCATGGCAGTATGTTTACCTTAAAGAGAGAAATACTTTTTTGTGTTAAGACAACGATGACTTATATTAGTTGCTTTAGTTATATTATGTAAGAATTCTCTCTCATGACTGAACTCTTGGGTTTTAATTTTTTTTAAAGTTGAAAATAAAGCTTTAAAAAACCTTTTTCATTGTATTGCAATAAAATGCCAAATTTCTTTATTTATTTGTTCCCTCTGTGGATTTAAGACATTAGCCTTATTATCCTTCAAAGTCTATTGATGCCCATGGAATAAAGTGGAATAGATCTATTGTTCTCAGAGCGTGAATTTTTTAAAATTAAAATACTGAAAACAATTACATTTCACAATTAAAGGAGCTTCTAAATTGGTAAAAACCTCAAAAGGATTCTGTTATATCTGTTTGGCTTAGCTTAATTAATTAAATGATTTAGTTAAATTGGAGCAGTTGATGTTTTTCAATCCTAAATCAGATTTTACTATAACAACCAAGGGCATTTTTAAGCAGTCACCTTCCAGCAACACAAACTTCTTATTTAATAGACTAAACTGCAATGTACTGTCTAGTTAGTAACTGACCTCAGAAAGAAGAACCCCGCAAAGGACATGATACAGAACCCCATTGCATTAAGTGGAATTCTTCCATTCACTTGAATTTGGACAAGGCTGGTAATTTAAAACAAACTGCATATACAGCATTGAAGATGACAAGTCTTCAGCTATTCCAGTCAGGCAGCCCAAACAGCTTTTTATGTTATGGTACCAAGGTCATTATCAAGCCTTTTGTTTTGTGTTTTATTTAAACTAAAAGGAATTCCAAGTAATCTTCTATGCCTACTAGTAAAAGTGAGGAAACATGATCTTTAACGCACATTATGGAACCTAATGCTCTATAGGTTTTTCAGCTTTTCACATATCTATGTGGGCATTTATCAATTTCTTTTTAGCATTAACTCCTAGAAGAAGGTTTCAGATTGGATGAAAGGGAAAACTTCTTCACAGTTTGTGTGAGTGGACTCTGGAATAGACTTCGGGGCGGGGGAAGGAGAGGGGGCGGGGTGCAGGCACCTACCCTGGAGATCTTCAAAAGCAGACTGGACCACACATCTGGCTGGGGTTATTTGACCTCAGCAGTCTTTTCTGCCAAAAGCAGGGGGGTTGGACCTGATGATCTCATGAGGTCCCTTCCAGCCCTGAATTTCTGTGCATCTGTAAAATTTATGTGAATTAGTTAGGCAAGACCATTGTATTAAGCATACCCTTTACTTGGCTCCCTTTGCAGTCAAAATCAGGTTGTTTCTCATCCAGATGACCACTTGGAAACATCTGCAGTTTATTGCATGATGATTCACATAGTTTAAATTAAAACAAATTTCAATTGGCTTGGCATGGAAATAGAGAGAAACACACAAAATAACAGGATTTAAAACGAAAACCACAGTGAGTCAGTGGATTGCTATGAACTGACAACTTTATGAGGCCCAACAATTTGGGTTACAGAGAATTAGTTAATGAGGTTAAAATCCTTAAGATTAGGATCCGAGTCACAGAAGGACCTTTATATCATGAATGCTCCACATGAAGTGACATCAGCGTGTGTCTGTTTGCTTAATAGCTGTATTTTCCAGGATTAGACTTTCGACACTGATTTTTGTGAGCCCTGGCTGATCTATTTGTCTTATAACAGAGAGACTGGAGTAGCCAGGAAGGTTGGTAGTGTTTGTGGTCCTGAATCTTTTCTTATATGTAGTTGTGGAAATGGAAATAACCATTGTGGTTTCAATTGTTGACACTCCTCAAGTATTACCACACCATCACAATCATTGCAGGCTCTGAAACATCCAGCTTATTCCATTTCATTAACTTTAAAACAATCAGCTTAAGTTTCTTGCTAGACCAAAATTTTAAACTAATTTCTGATGATCTGAATTATACTTGTTAGATTACTGATTGTATTTCACTGAAAAGGTCATGGGGTTAAAATATTTCATATTTAAAGTGTGTGTGTGTGTGTGTGTGTAGGTACACACATACACATGCATATATATATATTTTAAATGAAGTAAGTAATTTATATTTATTAATATTAATAAATTAATATACTTTATTAATTTATATCTGACTTTTCTAGTGAATATATAAGAGATTGTCCTTTTTTGCTTTGTATATGAAGAGTCCTCTTTTGATTATTTTTATCTAGTTAAAACATGGAAGAAAAATCCCCAAACATATGTGCATTTTTTTTTTGAATCTATAGACCCAAACCAGTGTATCAGCATGGAGCCCCTGCTTCTTTTCATTTGCTGTTAAGTCCTGCATGTCGAAGTGGCCTCACAATAGAACTTTGTTTCAATGAAGACTAGAGCAAAAATAATTGTTGCAATTATTTTCTTTGTTTTAAAATGTATTTCTTCAGGATGTGCATATGTCCACATGATTATATATAAATCAATCAAACATCAGAGCTAATACAATCTGTATTTTATGAAAGTTAATATCTTAGAAAATTGAAAAGATGAAGTTTCTATTCCACATATAACTGATTATATGGTTATCAGTGAAAACCAGAGTTCTTTCTGCATTGAGTAGGAGTTTAATAGACCTAAAGAAGGTACATATGATTAACGCCAAGGCAAATATATCTGTCATAAGTGGTTTGATGATCTATCTAAGAGCAGGGATTCTTTTTTTAATTCTCTTGGTAGAGGGAAACTTAGGATCCATAGCAGAACTAAAACCAATCCTGTATATACATCAGAGTTGCATTTGATCCTTTTGTTGCTAGTGTGCTTTCTCCATGAGAGCTATGCACTCTGATGTCCAAAAACAAAAACGTCACCTAAGACAAATACGGTTTTGTGTGCTGAAGTTTTATCCCCAGGTGCATTATAGACCTGATTCAGATACTATTGGTACAAAACAAAAATAACTTTGTTTCAAGTTAAAGGACATCAACATTACCACCCTTACAATTTTAAACTTTGGTAAAGTTTTGTTTGTGGTTGTTCCAGAGGTGAAACGGGGGACATTTACTTTGATGTACTAAGAAATCTCAAAGCACTCAGTCCAATTCCCTTGACAAAGACTTAGCTTTCCTTTAAACAAAAAGAATTCTAAATAGTTCATGGATCAGAATGACAGACTTACTTGTCATGCAAGACAGCAGCTTTTCATTAGGAACTCTTCAGCCACACTTCTGCAGATACCTGTGTCTAGACAAAATACAGAGCATTATGCAAACATGAAACCTAGCTGGAGCTAGTGTTCAAACTGTTCATCTCTTCAGTTCCCCAGATCAGGAGTTAATAACCCATAGCCTTTAGGCCAGATTGGCCCACAGAGCCACTACACATGGGGCTTTGGCAGTAGAAGGCTTTGACGTTCAACCGGGGCTTCTTCCATGCCACAGTGGGGAAAAGCAGCAATAGCAGCAGATGGGTCCTAGCACCAGCACTATACCTAGACTCCTGGCGGCCCCAGGTGAACTTCTAGTATCGGATCCCCCTTCATCAGAGATAATGATAATAATGATAATAAGACAACGGGGGAAAATTACCATTTTCGGGCCCCTTTTCTGTCTGGGCCCTGGGCGGCCGCCTGATTTGCCTATGTCTGTACTGGGTCTGCCTAGCACCCAGCTGCCTCTTACCTACATTAGGTCATTCTAAGCTGTGGCCTGAAAAGTTGCCAAACACTGCTCTAGATAGTTGTTTCAATTTACTCAGCATCTATTACTGGTAGCACATTAAATACAACAACATAGAGCATTCACTTTTCACTTTGTAGTAATTTTTGGGAAAAAACCCAAACACTTATGACTGAAGTGTATACAATAAAACCCCTTGAATCAGGGAGAAAGGCCCCTTAGTGTTTCTGCTGGTTTAAGGTAAAAGCTACAGCATAAAATACCCTTAACATATTTTTAAAATACTTCTTTTAATGTTTAAAGAGGGGAACATGGCAGTTCTCAAAAAGAAAAATCCATTTCTGGAAAAGAAAAGTGATGTTGTTTGTTATTGTTTCTGCTGACAGCAGAGTAACTCAAAGAGGAAGCTGCCCATCCTAAACAGAAGGACAAGGAGTGACTTAATCAAGCATATGCCGTTTAGTATAAAAGAGTCAATTTACTACATGAATGAATTAATACTGTTGCATATTATGTGAAATACCAAGCACTCAAAACACTTACACAAAAATAAACCCTCTTTTATTACAATAATGCTAATACTCTACAATTACCATAGGTACTAAATGGCTGAATCATGCTAAAACTTCCAGTTGTAGTTCATCACACAATGTGGGCCAGTTTAAGATCAAAACAATTCAACAAATATTTTGCAGACATTAAGCAGATCTGAGTCATATCCTGTAAATGT